CTCCCCCCGCCCTCACCCCCCTCTCCCCCGCCCTCACCCCCCTCTCCCCCCCGCCCTCACCCCCCTCCCCCGCCCCCGCACCGCCCTCGCCGCCATCGCTGGCATACCCCATGCCGCTGCGGTACGCGCTGCCACGGCCCAACGCCATAGTGGCCAAGGATGGCACGGGCACCTTCACCTCCATTCAGGTGCGCGCGTGCACTGCTGTGTCAGTTGGTTCATGCTACTTCATCACTTCACTTGAGGCGGTGCGCATGACTTTCTTGTCGTCTTCCCATGCCGTCCCTCGCCATGCGCCATCATCCACCCACCAAACCAAAACAACACAACAGGCAGCAGTGGACGCAGCCCCATCCACCCCCAGGGGGCGCTTCATAGTGTTCGTGGCGCCGGGCGTGTACAGCGAGACGGTGCGAGTGACGCGCAGGAACGTGACGCTGGTGGGGGCGGCGCCCGAGGCAACGGTGATCACGGGCAGCGCCAGCGTGGTGGGCGGCTCCACCACTTACAACAGCGCCACTGTCGGTCAGTCGCTGCCTCGTGCCTGTTGGGGAGGGCAGGGAAAAGGGGGGGAATGTGCGTGGGGCATGGCAGCGGGCAAGGTGCAAGGGTCATGGGGCATGGGGCATGGGGCATGGGGCATGGGGCATGGGGCATGGGGCATGGGGCATGGGGCATGGGGCATGGGGCATGGGCTATGGGGCATGGGCTATGGGCACCTCCAAGGTGCGTGTATGGGGTTTGTGTGGGCCACACCCATGTGTGTGGGGCATGGGCAGTGGGTTATGGTGTAACCCCGCTATCACTGCCTCTCCACCCTCCCCAACCACCTCCCTGCTAGCCGCTCCTCATGTCGTCCCTCTTCCCCCCTTCCCCCTTTCCCCCCACTGCAGCCATCACGGGGGCGGGCTTCCTGGCGGTGGGGGTGCGCTTTGAGAACACGGCAGGGGCGGCCAGCCACCAGGCGGTGGCGCTGAGGGTCACGGCGGACAACTGCGCCTTCTTCGACTGCCACTTCATCGGCTGGCAGGTCCTGCTCCGTTCCCACCCGCTTCCTTCCTCTCGCTAACCACTGCCTCATTGCCACACCTCTTCACATGCTGTGCTGTGCTCTGCTGTGTTCTTCCGCTCATGATATCTTCCCTCCCATCTCGCCTTCCCCGCCCCCCACCACAGGACACGCTGTACGCGCACAGTGGGCGGCAGTACTACCGCAACTGCGTGGTGAACGGGTCGGTGGACTTCATATTTGGCAACGGCGCCACCGTGCTGGACAACTGCACATTGCAGATCCGCCCACAGCCCAACGCCGTGGTAACCGCGTCGGGCCGCGCCAACTCCACGGAGCCCACGGGCATCGTGATTGTCAACTCCCGCGTGGAGGGCGACGTGCCGCAGGCGCAGTTCCTGGGGCGGCCCTGGAGGCCCTTTGCACGCGTGCTGTACAGCAACACCATCATTGGCTCCTCTGTGAGTGTTCCACACTGCCAGCATGCCCTGCATTACCAGCATGCCCTGCATTACCAGCATGCTCTGCACTGGCTGTGGTTGTTTGGAACTTGCGTTTGCATGATATGTGTCTGGCTCTGCAGATCAACCCCAATGGCTGGATGGACTGGGGAGGCACAGTGTATGAAACGACAACGTTTGTCGAGTTCAACAACTCGGGGCCCGGCTCAGTGGGATCACGCATTGCTTGGGCGAAGCCAGGAATTGTGAACGATCCGTCTCTTGTGGCTCAATACTCCCCCGATGTGTTCCTTTACCCGTTCGCTCCAATACTTGGGCTCATTCCTTGGATATGATAGCAGGCATTCCCGGCGTTAGTTCCATGAACTGTTTTTTGTGCATGGTGATGTGCCTATTTATTATCTTACGGTAAGTAGTCTTAGAAGTGTTGATAGGAAACCTGTATTTAGTTTAAGTGTTGTTGTAACATACATACGTAAGGAATATATTTGATTCCCGCCAACTAGGGCCGTGTCGCACGCACAGGAATGTGAGCACCAATTCGGCCTCTGATTGGTCAGCATCACCCAACCCCGTTTGTTTGTGTGGCTGGCAGTAACGGCTCTTCACTTCCCTTGGATCTATCCTTCCACTTCGAAGTGGATTCGTCTGGCCAGGATTCCGTCAGAACGGGACGGTAGTCGGATGCGAATAATTCCCCCGCACACAGATATCGGCCCTGTTCGGTAGACGCTCCACTCATACCGCGGTTGGTGGAAGGCAGGCTCCGGGGACATTCTTAAAGCCCACAAACTCGATATTGGAACACCGAGCCTGCCCAGTGTGACTTGGCTAACGAACGCTTCAAAAGCCAAATATGACTGCGGGCGCCGAAACTGCACGGAAATTTTCCTTCCCGGGCAACTGGACTCGCAGTGGAAGTGGCTCCCAGTTTTGGGTTTCAGTTACACCCCGCGAGGGCCACTCCAAGTGGCACAGTTTTGGGTTAACTTTAGATTAGACAATTTCGGGCCGAAGAATGAGCTCTTACCTTCTTGAAACAAAAAGAGGTGGCGCGCAGCATGTGATGCTTTTTTCCTCTTTGTTTAGCAGGGTAACCGTGCGACGGGCAAGTACGTTTTGTTATTTGGTCAGTCTGGTAGAAAACCACATTCGTATCAAGAAACTTAAAACATATTTCCAGGAAACTATTGCAAACTAGACTGAAAACTTCTTTACAGTCTGATTGGGAGCCCGAGGCTAAGCAACATCTCGGACGCTTCTTCAGTTCGGTTGGGCTCAGTGTGACTGGGAGGCTACCGAACAGGGCCATCATCTTCTCGCTCCGTTCCGCGCTTTGCCCACGCCCTCTCGCCACCAATCCAGCGCTTCGCCCACCGACCACCACTGACAGTGCGGGCCTTCGGGCATTCGATCAACCAAGCGGGCAGGACGGACTAGAAGAAAAACAGCGTTCGCGCTGAAACCTACCCTTTTTCGCGGTGCCTATTATCCAAACTTAGGGATCTAAGATTGATTCTTCCATCAACAGCTGCAATTCGACGCTTTGATTGGAACACGCTTCCTCTTGGCCACATTCGGACAGACCAGGCAACCACAGTGCTAATCCAGGCCGATCCGCAATGCCTAGGTTATGCTCAGAACTCTAGGCAGGCACGTTAAGTCCGGAAGAATCCGAGCTGAGACGAGGAACGGTCAGCTCGTTTCACTGGTACGCTCGAATTCAGGTGGATTTCAGTGCAGCGGGAAGTAAGCGGCATCGCCATGGTCGTCATCCATGAATTGTAAGCCGTTTAAGAAGTAAGCGGTTTGAGTACTATAGTGAATGTTTCGATTTGTGAGGGATGGGTACTTTCGCGATCTGAACAACCGGCCGTTTTGGCGAATATTGTGCAGAATCTGTGAACGAATTTCAATTTCTAGGATCCAGTGTTACTGATAGAAGAAGAGGCCGTCAATCTGCATATTCGATTCTCCGAAACTGGTTTATGCAGGGATAGCAGTCCAGCCGGCTAACCGACTGGGCTAAAAGGGCATGTTTTCTTGGTGGGTCAGCGCACCCATACCCCCCCAGGACGACACCTGTAGCCCTTGGGGAGACCACTGGGCCATTCCAGTGTCCACTTCCAACAGTTTAACTCGGTCATTTCGCTTAATCAAGGATCAATGTCACTCACCCATCCCTCGTGTCTGCTCCCCCTCCCTCTCGTATCGCCGTGCTGCAGTCAAATTCCGTTGCCGCTGTCCGCAGAAGAGGTGAGCGTTGACTTGACGTGAGCGTTGACTTGGGGTGTGAGTTGACTTGGGCTGATCACTGACTTCCAAGCGAGAAATTTGCCGGCCGGCAGTCCTGGGGTGGCGGTGAGAGCGTGTGGTCAGCAGCGTGGCGTGATTGCCGCGCCACGATGGCTTGTCCATCGCCGCCAGCCACTTTCGCGCGCGCGCCAAATGCCGCGGCCATGCCCGCCTGTGCGGGGCGCAGCTGGCACCTCATCGCGAAAGTGTGAAGTCCAAAAACTTGACCCAAAAGTCCCCTTCCATTCTCTCCCCCTTCTTCCCCCCTCTCCCTCCCCATCCCACCAGTACCGCATAGCACAGCTGTATATGATCGCCAAGTTCAGCGAGCACCACTCGTCGGACAACAGCGACGGCGACGGCGTGGAGGTGCTCACCAACGAGCCCTTCCAGGAGGACGGGCGCACCGGGCAGTACACGCACAAGATCTACCACCTGGCCAAGTGAGTGGGCAGACTGAGTGAGCAGTACACGGTCCATTGTGTGTGCAGCAGCTTGGCGGGTGTTGTGCACAGTGGGTAGGACGCGTGGTGGCTAATGCAAGGGGGGAGAGGAGGGAGGCCACTTGTAAGCCCATCCGTCATGGAAAGGACCAGCATTGGGGATCCTCGGATGGGGGCCAGCCCTTCACCGGGGAATGCCGCGGCACTCAAGGTGAAGCAGAGGCACAAGGGGACCCTGGGGGGCCTGGGCTTCCTAGAAGGGCACCAGATGGTTCCAGCAGGCACGTGTGATGACAGCGGCGTGGAGGTGAACGCAGGTAGGTGCCCCCCCAGCGGTGGGCTCATCACAGCCTGTGTGGCTGGCGGGCGGAGGAAGCAGCAGGCGGCACTCTGCACACGGCAGGTTGGAGCTTGTGTGAGGCGGGTGCAGGTGAGGAGGCAGTGGGGGTGAATGTGATGTCTCACGGGCATCTGGCATCTGCCCCACTGCCCTCGCTCGCTGGGGGCCACCTGCTACGACGGCCGCCTTGCCACGTGCCCACCATGTGCACACGTGCAGTGGTGGGTGGGTGGCCATCCCGTGTCCCGCCAAGGCCAGCAGAGTGGGCAGCCTTGTAGCATGGGCATGGGCGCAAGGCGCTGGAGCAGTCAAGAAACAATAGAGGTGCAAAAGCAAGAGCGCCACCCACGGGCCATGCTCCAGCGCTCACACTCTCCGGGAACAACCTTCTCCCCCGCTCTCTCTCTCCTGCTCTCTCACACTCGCACTCATTCTCTTGTTCACCACACTCGCACTCGCTCCACACTCTACTCACAGCCATCGCTCACCGACTCCCCTCCCTTGCCATGGAGTGCAGGAAGGTGCCTCAGCTGGTGCTGGCGATTCTGCCCAAGAAGGCACTGCAGCTGGAGGAGAAGTCGTGGAACTGCTACCCTCACTGCGTCACAGGTGAGCAGTGCATGACAGGTCAGCAGTGCATGACAGGTCAGCAGTGCATGACAGGTCAGCAGTGCATGACAGGTCAGCAGTGCATGACAGGTCAGCAGTGCATGACAGGTCAGCAGTGCTTGACAGGTCACCAGTACATGACACGATACCACGTATCGCCATTCCGCACATGCCTTCTCCTGAAGCCCTGGTTTTGTTCCACTCTGTGCGCTTCACCATTCTTCCTTGACGCCTCACGCGTAGCAGCCCCCCTCATGCTCATCCCCCTCCTCCGTTTCCCCTCTGCCCATTCCTTTTCCCTAAACCATGGATGGCATGGCATGGACACTGTGGTCTGCGTACACGTGGCGCCCATCAGAGCTGACTGTGAGTCCCCGATTCCCTTCACCACTGTCCGTCCATGCCCCTTGCTCTCTCACACCGTTCTCCCCTGCGTGCCCATTCGCACTCGTGCCTCTGGCATCTGCCTGTTCCTGTTCCTGCCATCCCCGTCGTGCGCCACACCCCTCTCCTCATGCACTGCCTTGTCCCAATGGAATGCCATTGTCCGTCTGCTCGTCCCATTCCCGCCATCGTCCTACCTGTCCTCCCTGCCGCCTTCCCTGCCCTCCCTGCTCTTACCCCCTTCCCTACCTGCGCCCCCTGCCTTCCCTGCCCTCCCTGCCTCGCCTGCCCCCCTGTGGCCGTGTGGCAGAACCCCTACTTCACCAAGTTCAAGCTGCGTGTGGAGTCCGCCTACCTCAATGACCGCACGCCGCAACACAATGTATTATGCTCTGCTCTGCAACGCTCTTCTCTCTGCTCTGCCGTGCGCTCTGCTCTGTGCTGCTTTACTCCTCTCACCACCCGCACTCACGTGCCCCCGTCTTTTCCGTCTCATTACCCCTTCCTCCCTTGCTCGTCGTTCTTCCTGCCCATCATCTTCATGCATTCATCACCTCGCCTCGCCTTGCACTCCCTCCCCTTGCACGTGCTGGCTGCTGCTGGTGCTGGTGCTTGCGCCCCTCCATCACCACTGCTCACTGTGCACGCACCACTGTCCGTCGTACCCCTGCCAGGCGCTGGGAGCGGGTGAGCACGTGCTGATTTTATACTCAACTAAAATTCCATTGTTTGCTGCTGCTCTCCCCCTTCCCACACGCTCCCTGTCGTCTTCTCCAGCCAGGCACTGGGAGCGAGTGAGCACGTGCTGCATCCGCGCTCTGTGGAGGTGTTGGACCTCGCGACTTGTGAGTCCGCTCAAACTCCCCTGTCTGCTGCTGCTCTCGCCTTCCCCCATTTCCCTCTGCCAGGCACTAGGAGTGAGTGACGATGTGCTGCAGAGGAGGAGTGTGGAGGTGTTGGACGTGGCGGGTGAGGCGGTGGAGGCGTACGTGCCCGAGGAGGACCCCGCGCGCTTCACCTCTGTTAAGACCGGCCGCGGCCCCTTCACTCCCGGCTGGCAGGTACATACAGCCTCCGTGTTTTCTGTCACTGCAGCCTCCGTGTTGACCATCATTTTCTGTTTCCTGCAAATGAAGGTCATTGGGACGTTGCACGGCCACAAGCTCAGCTCATTGCACACACTCTCCTTGTCGCCCATCATCCCACGTGCGGCACCTCACCCCACCAGGAGCGCTGTGAGCCGTGCATGGTGGCGTACAAGCTGGTCACGGTGGACCTGCCCTACTGGGGCTTCGGCCCGCAGCTCGAGAAATACATCGCCAGGGTACGCCTTCCCCCTCCGCCCTTCCCCTCCGCCCTCTCCCTCCGCCCTTCCCCTCCTCCCTCCTCCTCCGCCCTTCTCCTCCGCCCTCCCCCTCCGCCCTTCCCCTCCGCCCTCCCCCTCCACCCTCCCCCTCCGCCCTCCCCCTCCGCCCTTCCCCTCCGCCCTCCCCCTCCGCCCTCCCCCTCCGCCCTCCACCTCCGCCCTCCACCTCCGCCCTCCTCCTCCGCCCTTCCCCTCCGCCCTCCCCCTCCGCCCTCCCCCTCCGCCCTCCCCCTCCGCCCTCCCCCTCCGCCCTCCCCCTCCGCCCTCCCCCTCCGCCCTCCACCTCCGCCCTTCCCCTCCGCCCTTCCCCTCTCCCTTCCCCCTCCCCCTCCCCCTCCCCTCCCTCCCCCTCCGCCCTCCCCCTCCGCCTTCCCCCTCCGCCCCCCCCTCCGCCCCCCCTCTCTGCCCTCCCCTTCTGCGCTTCCCTCCGCCCTCTCCTTCCACACTCCCCTACCAGCCCTCTCAGTCCTTTCCTTATCCCCTCTCACAGCCCTCAATCCCCCTTCCCTCCAATGTTTCACGCACATGAAGCCACTCCTTCCTCCGTCACCTCCCTTCCCGCCCTCTCCTCTCGTGTTCTCCTGCCATGCGGCCATCCCCCGCATACCCATGCCTGTGCGCTTCCACATGTCTCCCTTCTCCTCTCTGCACCGCACTGCACTCCCTTGGAAATGTCCCTTCATCCACCCCAACCCCCTCTTCCACACCTGTGTGCGTGCATGGTGTGGTTTGAGCTGCTTCACTACTCCCCTTTCTGCCTCACGACTCGCCGCAGAGGAAACTCTCAGAACCTCTCCCCCCCTGCCATTGCTCATGTGTGTGCACGGTGGTGTGGTGCGGCAGGTGTTTCAGCGCAAGCTGAACATCGAGGCGAACCGCAAGGCCATCTGCTGGATGGACGAGTGGTACGGCATGACCATGGCGGACGTCCGACGCATGGAGGCTGAGGCCTTCTCCCGCATCAACCAGGTGATTGCATCAACCAGGTGACTGCATCAACCAGGTGACTGCATCAACCAGGTGACTGCATCAACCAGGTGACTGCAGCACACCCAGGTGACTGTAGCAGCCAGGTGATAGCAGCAGCCAGGTGATAGCAGCAGCCAGGTGATAGCACCAGCCAGGTGATAGCACCAGCCAGGTGATAGCAGCAGCCAGGTGATAGCAGCAGCCAGGTGATAGCAGCAGCCAGGTGATAGCAGCAGCCAGGTGACTGCAGCAGCCAGGTGACTGCAGCAGCCAGGTGACTACAGCAGCCAGGTGATAGCAGCAGCCAGGTGACTACAGCAGCCAGGTGATAGCAGCAGCCAGGTGACTACAGCAGCCAGGTGATAGCAGCAGCCAGGTGACTACAGCAGCCAGGTGATAGCAGCAGCCAGGTGACTACAGCAGCCAGGTGATAGCAGCAGCCAGGTGACTACAGCAGCTAGGTGATAGTAGCAGCCAGGTGACTACAGCAGCCAGGTGACTGCAGCAGCCAGGTTCCTGCAACTAGGTGGTTGCAATAAGTCAGCTTTGTTCCTTCTACCCTGACCAGAACTCTCAAGTCCTTTGTTCATGCCCGCCCTGGGCTGCGCTCAGTTCTCATCTCCTAAACCTTCTCGCATCTGCCTGTTGCGGCATGCTGCCAGGATCGGCAACACAAGTACGGAGCGCAGGTGGGGGGTGGGGCACAAGCGCACAAGGGGAGCGCTGCACGCGTGGCCGATGGCACACTGGTGCAGCCAGCTGTCAACGGCGTGTAGCCACTCATTGGCCGGTTTCTTCAAGGTATGGACACCTATTTTTTGCACCCATGCATTGCACCCATGGCTTGCACCCCTAGCTTTTTGTGCTGTTGCTTGCGGCGCCGACTCCGCTGCAACTTACCTAGAAGACAATGTTGTTTACCCTGTCTGGATAACTTGTTGCTTTCACCGTCACTCACTACTAGCCGTTGTTTGCCATTCCCTTCTTTCCTCTGTTGCCTTGAGCAGTTCTCATCGCCATACACACCACACAGCACGCACACAAGGCTTTCATCGCGGCCTTCGTTCCCACCAGACATGCTCATGAACTTTCTTTATATTGTTATGAATCCTGATGTATATTGGGTTGCTTTTCTTCACCATGTAACATGGCCAATCAGGTGACCGCGGTAGGAATCGAGCACGAGCATCGCGCTAAGGGCCCAAAATCTTAGGGTAAAATGCCATTTTTACCCTTTCTGTTGGCCCCATTTTTTTACTTACCCTTGTCAACGGGAGTTGGTCCCGCTCTCGTTTGGGCGAAACCGACTTCGTGGTCGGGTGTGCGGGAGGTGCAGCCGACCGACTGCAGTAGGTGACGCCGACTTGGGCGAGCAGGTTGACGGAGTCGGTCGACCTGCACAGAGGCACTGCGAAGCTGATGACGGGAAGGCGGCGGTCGACTCCGTCTGTGGTCACTCGTCGACCTGGGAGGGCGCCGATTCGACGAAGTCGGCGGACAACATGGTGGTCGACGACGGGTTCGCCGACCTACGGGGTGGCCAATTTGGTGAAGGCGGTGTCAAGATGCTAGGCAAGAATGATGTGCATTGAAAAGGAACAAGAGTACAAGTACCTAACCCTAATGGGGTTGTACCCTATATTGTCTACCCCACTACAGCCTACCAACACATTACATATAATCTAACACACCCCCATAGGCAAAGTGGGGGAGAACAAGGGGTCACAAGACCAGTCCAGCAAAGCAAAGCAAGCCCAGGGTGGATCACAACGTCACCACACTCTGAACACAAGCAAAGGCCACAAGGCCAGTTCACATGCAGAGCTATATAGGTATATATAGACCAAGACAAGCAACACAGTGATCACAACCTAGCAAGCAAGCAGCGATATATATAAATCACAGTACAAAGAAAGTCAAGCAGTAAGCAAATGAGGTAATGTGGACACAAGGCCTAACGCAGTACAGTGCCGCTGATGATCACTAGGCGGAAGCGCCTTGGTGAAGACATCAGCAGTGTTGGCCTTCGAGTCCACGTACACAAGACGAAGCTGACCACGCTGCTGCAGCTCTCGAGCAAGAAAGTAGCGAAGAGCAATGTGCTTCGTTCTGTGCTCCAGTCTGTGCTCCTGACACAAGGCAAGGGCCGCCTTGTTGTCTCCGTACAGAACTGGAGGAGAACTAGGCCGCTCTCCCAAGTCAGTCAGCAGGTAGGTGAGCCAGCGTAACTCCTGTGCAGCCATGGCCGTGGCGTAGATCTCAGCCTCACAACTAGAGCTGAGAACAGAAGAAGAGCGGGTGGACCGCCAAGAGACAGAACCAGAGCCAAGGCTGAAAGTGTAACCCTGTGACGACCGCTGCGTAGCCAGGTCGTCCACCCAAGAAGCGTCTGAGTGACCAGTGAGGGCAACTCTGTCGCGTCCTCCAAGCACCAGCCCCATGCCTGATGTACTGCACAAGTAGCGCAGCACCCTCTTAGCAGCCTCCCAGTGCTCTCGCCTGTGTCTCCCAGGCGCAACGTAACGAGCAAGGATGCTAAGAGGGTACGCAAGGTCAGGTCGCGTGCAAGTCATCAAGTACATGAGGCAGCCTACAAGCTCTGGGTACGGGCCACTCGGCTCTACGGACTCGTCCAAAGGTGGAGTTGAGAGCGCGTCGAGCCGCGCGCAGCCCGTTTTCTGCTGCGCGCAGCCCCGTCGAGCCGCGCGCAGCCCCTGCCGAGCCGCGCGCGGCCTGCTGCTGCTGCGCGCAGTCCCTGCCGAGCCGCGCGCGGCCAGCTGCTGCTGCGCGCGGCCTGTTTCTGCCTCCCGCAGCCCGCGCTCGGCCCACAGCAGCCCCGCGCGCTGCCCTGCATAGCCTGCAGCTGCATCGGCCCCGACCTTCCGCTGCTGCGGCCCCTCGCTGCTGCTGCCGAGGCTCCGACCTGCCGCTGATGCGGCCCCCACTCTGCGACTGCCGCTGAAGCGGCCCCCCACCCTGCAGTTGCTGCGGCCCTACTCTACTGTCGCTGTTCCGGCCCCATCGCAGCTGCGGTCGTGCGCCTACTCGGCCCTGCTCGCCCGGCGAGCACCTGCCCTTCCAGCCTTTGGTGAGCACCTGCCTGCCTGCCTGCCTTTCGGCCTGCCTGCCTGTCTTTTTGCCTGCCTGACTGCCTGCCTGCCAGCCTGCCTGCCTGCCTGCCTGCCGGCCTGTCTGCCTGTCGGCCTGCCTGCCTGCCTGCTGGCCTGCCTGCCTGCCTGCCAGCCTGCCTGCCTGCCGGCCTGTCTGCCTGTCGGCTTGCCTGCCTGCCTGCTGGCCTGCCTGCCTGCCTGCCTGCCTGTCAGCCTGCCTGCCGGCCTGTCTGCCCGTCAGCCTGCCTGCCTACCTATCTGCCTGCCTGCCTGCCGGCCTGCCTGCCTGTCTGCCGGCCTGCCGCGCCTGCCCTGCCCGAGCTGCTGCTGCTACTAGCTATTAGCAAGGGACCAGATGCAGCTCCAGCGACGCTCACGCGAGTCTCTCACGCCCCAGCAGCTTAGTGAGTGGTATACTAGTTGGGGCTGTCGCGGTAGCCGTCGTAGCTGTCGCCCTGGAGCTGGTCAGTTGGGGGCCTCTAGCAGTGGCCAGCTGCAGCTGCAGCGGCGTCCACGCGAGACACTTACGTCTCGGCAGCTCGAGGAGTGGTACGCTCAGAGTAGAGGGTCTTTCAGTCCAGTGCGCTGCCGGTACGTCATTCGCACAGGTGATCGAGCTGGTCAGACCTGCGGGACGCCTGGTCACACACAGTCCCGCTGCTTCGCCCGCCTGAGCGACGCCTGGCGTACCGAGTTTGGTGACGAGGCTGAGCTCCCCACCTGGCTGGAGCTGCTTAGCCAGAGGATAGATATCTTTGCTCTTGACTATGATGCTATTCTCACTGCTATGTATGCATTGCCTACTAGTGCTGACCGAGCCTGTTACCTGTGCGTACCGCCTGACCCAGGTATAGAGCCTGCTGCTCTCGGTGCTGGTGAGGCTGCTGCTCTAGGTGCTCGTGCGTCGCCTGCTCTAGGTGCTGGTGAGGCTGCTGCTCTCGGTGCTACTGCGTCTTCTGCTCTAGGTGCTGGTGAGGCTGCCGCCCCAGGTGCCTGTGAGTCTGCTCTCTCTGGTACTGCGCCTGCTGCGGCCTTGCACACCTTCACCCTTGACTCAGGAGCTTCCCGCTCCTTCTTTCGCGACTGCACCACACTCACGCCGCTTAGTCGGCCGGTTGCAGTCTCCCTGGCGGACCCCTCTGGGGGTCCTGTCGTTGCCCGCTACTCCACGGTTTTGCCGTGTCCGGCCGTCCCATCTGGCGTGCTGTCAGGTCTCTACCTCCCCTCGTTCTCTACGAACTTGGTGAGTGGAGCTGACCTCCAGGATGGGGGAGTTGACCAGTTCACTCCTGCGGGTCAGCGGGTGACTCACTGTACGTGTGCTCGGACGGGCCGACACCTGGCCACGTTTACCCGTGCGTTTGGCTCGAGTCTGTACACACTGACCACTGCGGCCCCTCAGGTAGCTGCGTCTGTGTCTGCGTCAGGTCAGCTGTCGGCCCCCTGCGAGTGTCGTGCTTTGTCGCACCAGACCCTCCTGTGGCACCACCGCCTTGGTCACCCCTCGGTGCAGCGCCTTCGTGGCATGCACTCTCGCTCTCTGGTTTCTGGTCTCCCCAGGACTCTGCCTGCCCTCCCTCCCTCGCCTGCGCCTCCTTGCATTCCCTGCGTCGAGGGGCGGCAGCGCGCCGCTCCTCACTCCTCCTCGTTCCCTCCCACAGAGGCTCCCCTGCAGACTCTCCACCTGGACGTGTGGGGCCCAGCCCGCGTCCGTGGACTGGGCCACGAGCGGTACTTCCTGCTGGTCGTCGACGACTTCACGCGTTACACCACGGTCTTCCCCTTGCGCAGCAAGGGTCAGGTCCCTGATGTTTTGATCCCCTGGATCCGCGCTGTTCGTCTCCAGCTCCGCGAGCGGTTCGAGAGGGACTTTCCTGTCCTGCGTCTGCACTCTGACGGAGGTGGTGAGTTCACCTCCGACCTCTTGGCGGCCTACTGTGCGGAGCACGGCGTCCGCCAGACGTTCACGCTTCCGGCCTCTCCGCAGCAGAATGGGGTTGCTGAGCGCCGCATTGGCTTAGTCATGGAGGTCGCTCGTACCTCCATGATCCATGCGGCTGCCCCTCATTTTCTGTGGCCGTTTGCGGTCCGGTACGCCGCGCATCAGCTCAACCTCTGGCCCCGTGTCTCCTTGCCGGAGACCTCGCCCACACTGCTGTGGACGGGGAAGGTTGGCGATGCGTCGCGTTTCCGGGTCTGGGGTGCTCGTGCCTTTGTCCGCGATACCACTGCGGACAAGCTCTCCGCCCGCGCTATTCCCTGTGTCTTCCTTGGCTTATTCCCTGACGCGCCTGGTTGGCAGTTTTACCACCCCACCTCGCGTCGTGTCTTTGCGTCTCAGGACGTCACGTTCGACGAGTCGGTTCCCTTTTACCGTCTCTTCCCCTACCGCACTGCCTCTCTCCCTCCCCCGCCGCTCTTCCTCGCTCCAGGTGCTCCCCAGGTCGACCCTCTCCCCGCTCCAGGTCCTGCTCCCTCAGGTGTGTCTCAGGTAGACCCTCCTCCCTTCCCTGCGCCGGTTGAGGTCACTGGTGACTCAGGTCCTGCTGGGGGTGGTCCTGCTCGGGGTGCTACTTCTGGGGGTGCTGAGTCTGGGGGTGCTGAGCCTGGGGGTGCGGAGCCTGGGGGTGCGGAGCTTGAGGGTGTAGAGCCTGGAGGTGCTGAGCCTGCGTGTGAGGGGTCTGGAGGTGCTGGAGCTGGTGGTTCTGGGGCTGCTGAGGGTGCGAGCGCTGGAGGTTCTGGAGCTGCTGGAGGTCCTGGTGCTGGTGGCGCTGGAGCTGCTGAGGGTGCTGGCGCTGAGGGTTCAGAGTCTGCTGTTGCGCGGTCTCCTTGGAGTAGCCGCCTTCGTCCACGTGTGCCTCTCACCTCGCAGCAGCTGCACGACTGGTACGGTCGCCGTCAGGGTCGCGCTGCTGGAGCCCGGGGCTCTACTGCTGGAGGTACTTCTGCTGCCGTCCCTGGAGCTAGGAGTGGTGCTGGTACTGTTTCTACTGGAGGTGCTGGA